TTATTTAATTTATATGCTTTTTTTGTAAGAAATTTCGAGTGATCAGGAGTGATGTATACTGCAAAATTTTACGTCTGATTCCTCACTTGCAAAGGCAAGTGTGGTTGGTGTGTTATAGCTTTGAAAATTTTTTATTTCACCTTGTTAAGATCTTGTTCTGCAGACCGATCCTAAAATCCTGGTCCTGCCCTTGGTTCTTTTTTCATCTTTATAAGGGTTGAGGGATAGTGGTATTGTGAAGTGATCCTTTAAAAGAGATTGCTTTGCAGCATGCCTTTTATGAGAACCCCCTTAGAATTCTTGGGTACTTTTAGTTACATTATACATTCCTTTTTCTTTTTCCTCTAAATGGTATCTATTGTGTTGATGTGACTGATCTTGATTGGTATGGATTAAGGTTTTATTGGGTTGATGCTTTTGGATGTGTAAGAAGATTTTACTGTGATCCGTTGGACAGAGTTTCATTAGTATAAGACTATGTTAGATATAAGATAAAATTGAAAAATTAGAGTTGTTAGTTGCGATAATATGCTCATGCTAATAATTCTTGCTTCTTCTAAACAGGTATGGCAGGCCTTGCTGTGACATATGGCCTTAACTTAAACGCACGGCTGTCACGGTGGATACTTAGCTTTTGCAAGCTCGAGAATAAAATTATTTCAATAGAGAGGATTTATCAATACAGCCACATTCCAAGTGAAGCTCCTCCTGTTATTGAAAACTCCCGCCCTCCGTCCTCATGGCCCGAAAATGGAACAATTGAATTGGTTGATTTAAAGGTATCCAGTTGTTTTCCACCACACCATGCAGTACCTTCTTTTTCCTTGCTATATAGGATGCTCATATATGCCATTCTTTTTCTACATTAGATCTTACCTATTAATAGCAACTTCATGAGGAAGGTTTGCAGGGCATAAGTGCTTTATGGCATGAGAATGGAGAATCTAGCAGCATCTTAATAATTCCTCTGGCTAAAAACCGAATATCATTTCTTCTCTCTTCTCCACTTGCTTGATGAAGTCCACTTAATTGGGAAATTTGGATTCTACTTATGATTTTTTTTATTTTTCTCATACCACGAAAATGAAGAGTGAAAGAAACATTTTGTAGAAGGCTGTTTGTGATCAATAGATGATACATAGTTTTATTTTTTAACGATTTTGGAGAAAAAATTAAAATGTTCTCTGAATACTACAGGTCCTGCATGCTGACTTTTCCTTTTCATTTTATTCCCTTTTTTGAAGGTTCGTTATGGGGAAAATCTTCCTGTGGTGCTTCATGGGGTAACCTGTGCATTTCCTGGTGGCAAGAAGATTGGAATTGTTGGGCGTACTGGAAGTGGTAAATCTACTTTGATCCAAGCATTATTTAGATTGATTGAACCAGCTGGCGGGAGAATCATTATAGACAACATTGACATTTCAACAATTGGGCTCCATGACCTTCGTAGCCGTCTTGGTATCATACCCCAGGATCCCATATTATTTGAAGGAACAATTAGAGGCAATCTTGATCCTCTTGAAGAGCATTCAGATCATGAAATTTGGGAGGTATAAGTTTCTTTTGCATACCTAGCTCTTTCTCTCTCCCCTTCACTTAACAAGTATACTTAAGCTGAGAGTTATGTTAAGTTTATGAATTTCAAAGAAGTTCCAGTATTTAGTCCACAGGGAAAAGGTTATAAAGTATAAACAAATTCTTGATGTTCCTTGCATCTAAAGTAATTAAAAGTACTATAAATTTTAAATAATTCCCAAGCTTGTAGTTCTTTCACTGAAGATTTCAAAGTTCCTTTCTCTGAGATTGTTAGTTCGTAGGAACATTGTTACGGATAAACTATATTAATTTAGCTGTCACTCATTTGCTAATATTTCATTTGCAGCCCTTCCCCAACATATGACAGTCCGTATTAAACAAACACCACTTCGTTACTCGATTTACATTCTTTTTCAATCTTGTTGTATAATTTTATTCCCAATTAAACACAATTTACAATGCCAATATATGACCGTTGATCTTGAAATATGATATGATGTGCGCCCAATTAAGTACTAAATTTTCATTTGTCATAGGCACTTGATAAGTCTCAGCTTGGAGATATTGTTCGTGAGAAAGACCAAAAGCTTGATACACCAGGTTTATACCATCCCTTTGGACATCATTAATTTATGAACTGAAAAAGAAAAGAAAAAATGCATTCAGAAAGAAGAGGCAAAAGGCCCTTAAAGTTACATTTGGTTTACAGATTTTTTTTTTCCTTTGACGTAAAACGTGCAGTTTTAGAAAATGGAGATAACTGGAGTGTGGGGCAGCGGCAACTTGTTTCCCTAGGCCGAGCTTTGCTTAAACAGGCAAGAATACTTGTGCTAGATGAAGCAACAGCATCTGTTGATTCTGCTACTGACAATCTCATACAGAAGATCATCCGAACAGAGTTCAAGAACTGTACAGTTTGCACTATTGCACATCGTATTCCAACTGTAATTGACAGTGATCATGTTTTGGTATTATGTGATGGTATGTAAAACAATATCTTAATATTTCATCTTAAGCTTGAGATGTTTCAGTATTATTCATTGGTGTTAAGTTATTGAAAGTCTTGACCCTTTTCCCAATGAATTGGAAATTTATTTGCAGGTCGAGTTGCAGAGTTTGATACTCCGGGATGTCTCCTAGAGGATAAATCATCCATGTTTTTAAAATTGGTAACAGAGTATTCGTCAAGATCAAGTGGCATACCAGATTTTTGAAACAGATTGCATGCCCAAAATTCTTCCACTCAGAGGCATCGGTAGCTGAGGGACTATCCAAGAGTGAACCAGCAGCTGCTGCTTCTTTTATTGCAGCACTCGGCAAACTCAATGACAAATGGCCAGGACACGTGCTCATCAAGCCATTAAACTTAAAGGTAATTTCAAGTTAATTCATCCCCTTTAGTGGATTTGGGGAATTCATGCACGGTTAGCAACCCGGCATACCTTATAACAGAAATAATTCAGATAGGTAGGGTTCGGATACGGAATAAAAAAATGGGTGGCTTATATTTGTTCAATGATGTGCAACAATAGTGCTTAGAAAAATGTTGGATTGTAGTTAGGACATTTTGTAGAGTTGCATTTTGTAAAGTTGAAGTAGTCAGATGCACTGGCAAAAATTCAGTTGTAGACTGAACAATATAAATATTATTTCATCTCTCTAGAGGCCACTTCAGTTATAGGCTTTGATGCCATGAATTTTGCTTCAAACTTATCTCTTTCCTGCTCTTTCTTTCTCGACTTTGAGTAATATCGGATATACTGCTGCAGCAGACAAATTATTATCATCTATATCCATTTGAGCAGCTTTAACAGAATATACTGTTAAAAGTTTTCTTGCAACCATAGACTTGTTGATGCCAGCAACTTGGAGATTCCATAATATACAATTTGACTCAATAACACATCGTATTGAAAGAGTAAATGTATTCCCACATTCAAAGTTCACCCTTCTCCATCTTTCATATGGTGTTTTGGCAAATTTTTATCTTGTTATTTCATGAATACCAAAGCCAAGAAAAATTGCAAGGGTGAAGTAAAATTTTCTTCGAACCATAATTTTGTAGGCTGTTGCTCTTTTATAAAGTGTGTTGAAATCAAGTTTGTCAATATTGTACTGGATAATATTTTGATTTTTTTTTTAAATATGGTATATATATCGATATAAATTGTTTAGCATATTATTTCAGATTTTTTGATTTAATATAAATATATTTATAAATATACATAAACTTATACATTATAATCCTATTAGTGGTTTACAAAATCAATATGCAATATTTTCAAGTATCAAATAAATAAATTTAAAAGTATAAAAAATGATGTCATAAATTTTTTATGATATTTTTAAACACTTAATTTAATCATGTGATATTTAAATAAATATCTTTTCATACAAATATTAAGATAAAAATAAAGAAATGAAAAAAAATTAACTTTAATTTTATGATTGTTAAATTAAAAAAAAAAGAGCATAACTGCTTCCTTGAAAAAAATTAAAATACTTATGAATTTTGATTTTAAAAAATAAAATATAAAAGTAAACAAGTTACAATAAAAAAAATAGAAAAAATCTACTTCTAAAGATTATTTTATTAATTAATTTTATTTTTATTAGATTAAAAATAATTAAATAATAAAAAACAAATTAAAAATTACAAAAATGTTTCAAATTTATTTATACATTGAAATAAATTAATCTACTAAAATTTATCGAAATTAACAAAAACAGTCTATGTCAAAATTGATTCAAATAATATTTTTATATATATCAGATTTTAATAAAACTAAAATATACTGAGTCGATACGACCAATACTAAAACAAAATTAACATCAATAGTTATAATTACCGAATTCTCAGGGACGACATTCCAATCCATAGTTTACGGTTTCATCTTGAAAATCCTGAATTCGATGGCCCAAACTGCAAAAAAAAAAACAAAAAAAAAAAAAACGTTAAAGCCTAAAATAGCGTTTGCAGTCGGCCGAAAACACTGAACCCAAAGCCCAAATCCAATATGACCTAAAATTAGACCCCAAATCCAAATCTTCATCCTTACTTCAAACAAAACCACTTTCCTTCTCTCCCTGTCAGAAGCTAAGCTGAAAAAAGATTCAGGCGATTGCGAAACGTTTAGGGCAGCAATCTTTGAGGCCAACGGCTTCAATCTCTTCTATCAAGTCTATTTTACCTTTGTCTGATCACTGTAACATTCCATTCCCTCCTTTTAATTTCTCAATTGATCTTTTTCTTCTTCTTCTATTTTAACGTTGCTTCGCATTTGCATCAAATTAATGGGTTTTATCAAAATTTGAAGCATGTTGTTATTAAAATTTTCAGATTATGGAGTTGATCATCCGCGTTACGGATCTACGCTGGCCGCCCACAAGGACTTGGGCCACCTCGTTCGCAAGGGCACCGGCGGTCGATCCTCCGTTAGGTCATTTCTTGGAATTTACACTTTTTAGCTAAATATGTTTTTTTTCTTTTTCCTGTGACCAATAGTAGTTATATGATTGAACTTTTCATGTGTGATGGCGAAGGCTAATGTTGTTATCAATCTTATCGGTATACTAGGTTTCTCTTTTTAGTTTTCCTGTGACAGATATTTAAATCTTGGATTTGTTTGATCAGTATTGCTTATATTCGCAGGAAGAGAGTTTGAGACAAGAAACTATAGCTTTGAGGAAGTGAACCATTTCATGGCAGAACAACTGGCAGTGGTATGTTGACATTGAAATTGTCACCCTTAATCACTGAAAATGGTTTTAGCATCATTTGGACCAATTCTTGTGTATGGGCTAAATGTTATATTCTGTCCTCTTTTGGATGAAGGTGTGGGGGGCATGGGGAATTTGAAGTAGAAGGAAAGGTATTCTGTAAAACCTTTGGTTCCCTTTGAAGAAAAGAGAATCAGGATATGCACTCTATTTGAGCATCTATCATATGCATTATCTTTGATTCGAATGTAAATAACAAGTTAATTGACAGCATATCTTTTTTCTGCCATGCTTGCTGATATTTACGACAAAATTATGGTGATGCTTCTTTATCAAGTTTTCAGCATATGGAACAGTGCATAGTTTGTGACTTTGTGTGTCATATCATCTTCTGCTATCAACCATGTTCTACATTTAACTAAGCTTAATTTTCTGGAGTTTTTAGTACTTCCTGTATTAGTTTTTCCTTCTTGATTTCAAATTGCCAAAGAACATGGTGGTATCATGAGATTTATTCAAGTTTCTTGCTTAGGGTCGTCTCTGTCATCTCCATCAAAATTTAGGAGAGCTAAGGCTGCTGGAGAAGAAGCTGTTTTGAAAGAACTCCCTGAGGTAGCTTCGTTTTAGTTATAACTTGAGATGCTAATACTGGATGTGGTGAATTTATTATAGCATAAGTAGAGTGAACCTTTGTATTAATAATTGTGAAACAGTGTCATCTAATAGAGCATACACTTTACATTGAGCATAAATGAGCATTTTCTTTTCCCGTTTTTTGGTTTATTTTCTTATTTTGGGTGGAGTTGCATACAAACAAAATTAGGTTGGAAGGAGATAGAAACAGTTTCTTTTATTTAGCTTTAAATGCATGGATAGCCATTCCTAGGATCTTATACACACAAAAGTCCTGCTGTTTTTTTATGAATGGGGGAATTAATTTTGACAGTTTTATTAAGTCTCTTCTGTTGTTTCCAACATGCTGCTGTTGCTTTCATTTTTTCCTGGGCTTCACTCCTTAAGTTATTCAATGTTGAAGTGCTTCTACTTAACGTGTTGTGCTAAATGCTTGTTTGCTGCTTTTTGGGATTGACTGTGGTTGTTTTTCGGTGGATCCATATGCTGGGTATTTGAATGACAATATTGCAATTTAGCTATATAGAATTGTAATATTGTCATTTCTACATTTGAGAACTTGAGATAAAAGTTATGTTTGAATCTCAGAATAGAGGTGAAGATACGATGGAGTTGACAACTTGACTCCTCTTCCTTTAGATTATAAGAATGTAGAGATGAAGTCGTTGATGCATGCATCTTCCTCTGGTAGAATTAAAGAAGACTTGTTATTGTGCCATCAAGGACCTCATTCCCTCTATGCCTTGCAACATCTTTGCTTGTTTCACAAACTGGTTCTATATTGTTGAAGTCTTAAGCAATGGTTTACTTGAAGTTTCCCTATCATCCCAAACAAAAGTAAAATTCAAGTTCATTTAATTTTCCGTACGCTTTCTTGGGAGTAATGGTTATTTTTCACTCTTACTAGTGCTTCATGTCAAATTTGTGATACTTTTTTTAGCTGATAGCTATTTAGGAAATTCCTCAAAGAAGTGATCTGGAAAACATTATACATCTATAATTGCTATAGAAGGGTCAAAGTTGTTGAATTTTGCATTGTGGAAACTTAGTTTTGGACTTTATATGAAGATTTGATGTTACCTCTAGGAAATCATGAGAATGATGCATAACATTGGTGGTGCAATCCTAATAAGAACTTGAATGGTGCAGAATCTAAGTATGTAATAAAATTACACAAACACCTCTATTTCCTGAATAATCTTAAGGATCGGATCATGAATCGGTGGGTGCAGTTTGCAAAGAAATATAGTTTTCTTCCACTCATTGGTGATGGATCTACCAAGTAATTTTGATTATAACCTGAACCATTTAATTGAAATTTGTGGGTCCTTTTCTTCTGGAAGCTTTGTGCATCTTTTGCTAACAATATATTCTTTACAGAATCCAGCCTGTATGTGTTGTTGATGTTGCTTCTGCAATCGTTGCGGCCTTGAAAGATGATGGCACCATCATGGGAAAAGTTTACGAGTTGGGTGGGCCAGAGATCTTTACCGTGCATGAACTGGTAATTTCTCTCCCTCTCGATGATTTATTGAAGCAATGCTTCTTGGTGTAACTGAACCCAAAATTCCCTGCAGGCTGAGCTTATGTATGACATGATTCGTGAATGGCCATGCTATGTTAATGTACCTTTGCCCATTGCAAAGGTAAATCTTTAACCTTGGTATTTGGACTAGTGGTACAAGCAATGTTTTGACTGTTCTAAGCTAGTGCAGCTTTTTATTCTGTTGTCTAATTTGTTAGTATTGACTTTATGCATGGTAAACAGTAGTTATGCTGGCAGAAAAAGATGATTTCTTTAAATATCAATGGAATGCATGCTGTGCTTTTCATGCCTTAAATACGATAAACACTCTTTTACACATAATTGATTATTGTGCTTCTACTTGCATATTCAGGTTTTTGTTGTTCTCTATTATCACATTGTCGTTGCTTAATACTGTTTGCTGTTGAATTATAATTTGACACCTCATGATTTGATGGTTTCAGGCAATTGCAATGCCCAGAGAGGTGTTATTGAAGGAAGTGCCATTTCCACTGCCAAATCCTGACATTTTCAATCTGGATCAGATACATGCATTTGCAACCAATACCGATGTCTCAGAAAATGGTCAGTTGAAATACTCAGGCTATAGCGTATCATTCTTTCTTCTAATTTTTAATGGAATTGCCAATAAGTTTCCTTGCAAGATATAGTCATATCTCATTTTCCCCATATTTTATGGTTGATCGTGCAGCTTTAACTTTTATGGATTTGGGTATTGTGCCTCATAAGTTGAAGGGATTCCCGGTTGAGTGTCTTATCCAATATCGAAAGGGTGGTCAACAATTTGGTTCTACAGTCAGCGAAAAAATTAATCCAGAATATTGGCCTTGATTTTATTTGGATATTTCATTTCGTGATATTTTGGTCTAAAAAGGCCACCGATCTGGAAACCCAATACTGGTATGTGATGCCTTCATTTCCTTAAGACAAGAATGACCAAAAGAGTGCATAGTTCTAGTTTCTTTTGTTGTGAAGATGAAGAATGTGATTTTCGAGTGCAAGATTTAGTAAAATTCAGATACTTGCTTCATCACTGTGTATAACATTTGCCATTTGATCATAGGTTTGAAGGGAGGGGCATGTTTTCGTTGGCAGAAACTCGGAAAGAATAATAAAGGGCAAGGATTCTTGGGTTATTTCAGGAATATATAATAGTGAGAAATATTCATCTCATTTATAATTTAAAAAAAAAATCATCCTTGGGGGTTTGTTTCTTGTTAAAAGAAACCATTTTATCTGTTTCTGTTGGCAATTCCTTTTCGTTGTACTTTTGAATTTGGGGTTTTCTCAAATTCCATGGCAGTGAGAAATGATGCAGCTAACTGGATCTTAGAAGAAGTTGGATCCCTCTCTTTGCCTTTTTTTTTTTTTTTTTAATAGTATTTTTAAACAATTATTATTTAATTTTTGCTAAATCATATTTTCTATTCAAGATTTTTATTATTTTTAATTAAAAATAATTTCAAAAGTTTTAAACAATATACATGTTTAAGACTTAAATAAAACATAAAAATACATATAATTAATTGTTTAACAAAAAAAATTGAATAAATTAATGGGCTAAGAAACACCAGAGCTATAGGGCAAAATCCAATTCAAGAAAGGGCCCAAAACATATTCATCTGGGTTGCACTGGAACTCAGGTCGGATCTGGACGTGGGTCGGGTTAACGTTCCATAATAATGCGGGTCAACGGGTCTGATCCGCGTCAAGTTACTGCTTCGGGTAAGCAACTTGACCCGCTAATTCCTTTACTTTTTCCTTTTGTCCAAAAGGGTGTGTTGATCGAAGTTATTCCAATCTAATACAACATCTATTTTTTACTTGTAGGTGACGAAAAGTGAAAACACAAACTCATACTGCAAGCAAGGAAGCAAAAGCATTGAAAAATCAACTGATATACTTGACACAATTCAAAACAAAGCTACCAAAAACCACAATCCAACAATGTCGAGAACCGAGAGTACCCCAGAAATCAGCTTAGGCTCTTTGAATCACATTACCTTAGAAGGAAGCAATGCTGGGGCAACAATGTTCATCCGTCGTGGCTTGGCAGGCGAGCCAGAAGGTTGTAGCTGCATCAACGTTTATACAAATAGCTACGTTCAAGGCACTAACGGTTCTGTTTTGCTGAAGAGTAACATTAAAATGAAGAATCCTGGGGTCGAACTCTGTTTCGGAAATCTTAATTTGAGCGAATTAGGATCTCCAATTCTTAGATCAATCAGCAGGAGGACAACCGGTGCCACATTAGAGTTCGGCAGCATGTTTTTGTTTTTCTTAATTCAAGTCATTTTATTTCTGTCGCTTTCTTCATTGAAACCATAGTAATATCCTGCAATATTAGCATATTCAAAATTAATTGATTACTTGTGGAAATTTCGGAAACGGGAAAGAGTTATATAGCTTCAGTTGCAACAGAATTTAATAATTGTGATTGTGATTGTTTCATTTTCATGGTTTGATCGGGACAAAGCAATCTGATTCATTGGAATTATTATCAGTATTAGTTAAATTATAGATCTCCTACATCAAATTTGCCTTTTTTTGAGGGGTTCAAGCTATCATGTTCTTAATGTATTAAATGACTTGAAAGGACATATCACATTGGGCATTGCTCATTTATTTCTTCAAACAAAACACCTGTGCTTAGGCCATTTTCTGTCCATCACAGATTGTCAAAGACAAAACACGTGTCCAAACAGCTGTTTCTGTTAATGTTAAGACAAAAGAGTCACTTTCCTCGATGAGAGATCTGTGGTGTATGATAAACAAAGTTTGAGTGGCTGCCCACTTACCTTCCAGTTTACTGCAATGGGATCCTAACTTTCCAAGCAAAACCTGTATTTATCTTTCATCAGTGCTCGAAATGTAACTAGACAAGGATTGCATTTTTTATCTTAAGAGACACTTCCACATGTATTTGTCCAACTTCATCTCCCTCTCAAGCACTTAACAAATCAGCTACCGAGGTTTGAAACGGGTCCCATGGAAACAACCAATTTTCAGTAGAGGAAAAACTTGACTATTGTGGCAAGAAATATATATTATATCAATCTCAACGTTACACCATCTTTTAAAGTAGAGATATAGTATTCAAACTCTATTGCAGTCGATAATATTAGAATAAAGAGTAACTATACATTTGGTATTGATAATGTCTCTTATAGATTTTTTTTCTATGACATTTACAACTATTTTAATGCTTATTTTCAAGGGTGTTTCATGTCAACTAAAATGGTAGCCAATTAGTAGTAAGAGAATGCTGGCTAATTTGAAATACATCTTTAAAGTCATTTGCTTTTAAATTATTTGAATTTATGACTTGTTCAATTTGATTGAAGAGTGTGGGATCTAGGTAGGTTGACATGCTTAAATTCCTGGTTTCAACATTTGCTTGTTTCAATTTCTCAACTTGTGGTTGCATTTGCATCAATTAAAGGTTCTCATCAGTGAAAAGGATGTTACACCTATATCTGATCAAAGCCAATGCCTTAGATAACGATTAGGGTTATAATCGATCTAATTTGAGTTGATAAAATTTGAATTTAAGTTTAACTCAAAATTTGAAACTCGAAATTTAATTCAAACTCTATTGAATTTTAATTTTTTAATTCGAATTCGACTTAAAATTGAATTTAAACTACTCGAATTCATTCAATTATATTCGATTAACATATAAAAATAAATTTTAATTATTTATACTTAAATTCGAATTCGAATTCGAAATATTTTATTAATTAAAATATTAAAATATAAAAATTTGATTAGATTCACGAATTATTCGAATCGAATATAAAAATATTCGAACTCAATTTGATTAATAAGTCGAATTACTCAAATTTAAACTCAACTTAATAATAATCGAATTGAATTCAAATTTTATTTAAATTAAATTTAAATAATTTATAAATATTAATATATTATTTACACTTCTAATATCAATGAAGCAGACAAATCAATATGTTTGCTTCCACGTTTCACTATAATTTCTTTGTTTACTCGACCTGGTTGGCTGTCACCTTTGTCCGAAAATTATTGTAAAATTAAGAATATGTCAAATGATTTGAATCAATGATCAAGGCATGAAAATGCGATGATATTTTATATAAATAATACAAGTTTTCAAGGTAAAAGTTTAACAGCTTTCACAGAAAGTGTTTTACAAAAATAAAGTTTTACCTGTCATATTTCATTTTTAAAGCATTTTGCATGTGAAAAGGAGAGGTTTTGAACTGACTTAATCAAATATTTATGCGCACTCCATTTTGTGACCATTCTTTTTCAAATAAAATTTTCGTGGTGATGTGGTTGGTAAATTTATTAAACTATTAATTTATCTTGAAATTATAATAAAATATTTAATATAATATTTAAATTTTAAAAATTTTTAATATATGATATTTGAATTATACATTTATTAATCAATATAATACTTGAAAAATTATTTACCAACTATATGTTATTATTTAAAATTAATTATATCATGATTGAATATCACTTTAATTAATATATTCATAATTCATGTATCACATTAAAAATTTTTAAAATTTAAATATTACATGTAATATTTTGTTATATTTTAAAAATTATTCATGACGTTAATTTTTTTAATATAAAATTTAATATATTTTGATTAAAAGGTATGAAATCATGAATTTGGGTGTTTATCATATTTTCAATTACCTTTATATTTACCTTGCAAAACTTTATTTTTAAAGCAAAAGATTCAAGATTTTTTATAAAAAAATCATAATATGAAAAAATAAAAAACTTATAAATATTAATTTTAAAATTTAAATTTATTAAATATCATAAAATAATTGCACGAAATTGAACTTTATAAAATAAGCAAAGCAAAAGGTACTGGTAAAATTTAACCTGTAATAACAAAAGCAATTAAGAACATGCTTATTATCTCTTTATCAATTATCATACCCACTTCCTATTTGAACCAAATTAAATGCTTCATTAATTACAAAAAGTACACAATCATAATTTAAGAACTCAATTTGAGAAAATTCCATTTCTTACATCAAATTTTGCAATTTCCAATTTGCAATTTGCATGCCCTCTTTGCTAATTTCTAGATTTTCTTTCCCAGAAGGCAAAAAAAAAAAGTCTCTGTTTGGACTGCTACCAAGTTAAATTTACCCTAAAGCCCATGAGCGGGTTTCGCTTTTCTTCCACTCAGTTCCTTCCACGTGTCTCTAGTAGTATTTTCGAATTTCTCTCGTATTTCCCTGGTAAAACCCCAAGCATGCCAGCCGGTGCCATCGCCTCCCCTCACGTTTTTTCACTTTCCATGCAAACGCAATTTCCGGAATTTGACAGCTTTGAAATTTCAACACGTCATCTCGGGGTCCCACCTGGCCACCGACAACTGACAGCCCCTCGGTGCAGACCGCTAATTTGCGCCGTCCCTCTCTGCTCTTCTCGCCCTTTTGTTTTTATACGCGCTCTCCGTGTTTCGTTCCCTTTTCCAGCTCCAAATTTCAGTCAAATTATTTTCCAAGAAAATCCCCACCCTAATCCCCCAAAAAATAAAATCCTCAGTAAGTCCTTTTCTCCAAATCCAAAATTTGTCTTCAATATTTCTAGTTAATTTTGTTGATAAAATTCAGCCAAAAGATCCGTAACCATATCACGACAATTTCTTATTTTTTATACTTGGGGTTTCTTGCAGATAAATCTCTCTCTACTCTCAACTTTAAATCTCAATTTTTTTCCTTTTCTTAGTCATTATATTAAAATTTTGTAGCATTTTACTGTATTTATTCAGTTCTAAAGTTCCAGTCTTTTTTTTTGTGTGTATCTGTTGTACAAGCTTCGATCTTACTGTACCTTTCATTTTAAGCAGATGAAATGAGATTTGGGGTTTTAAAATCTTCTCATTTTCATTTTCTAGTTTGAAATCAAGTGAGAAAGTTGTTGTTTTTTTTTTTTTTTTTTTATGTTGGGATCTGTTGATTAGCGTTTGATTGAACCCTGATGAGACGCCGCCCAGCAGGGTTGGTTCCTTTCGAAGGAATGGAGAAGGGTTCCCCTAAGAATCAACAAGCCCGGCTCTGTTTCTTAGCTTCTTTATCAGCTTTTTTCTGGATTTTGCTTTTGTATTTCCATTTTGTAATTCTAGGACGTAGCACTGCAGTTGAGGAATCAGTTGTATCAGAACCAGTCAAATTAGAATCTTCTTTTGTTAATGTTGAGTCCATCCCTGCTCGGGTGACCGATGCCCGTGTAGAGAAGGAGAAACCCCCTCCTGTGAAACCTGTTAGGAACACGGCTGGTGAAAGGGTGGTGGCTTACCCATTTATGAGAGCTTTGAGGACGGTGGAAAACAAGAGTGATCCATGCGGGGGAAGGTATATTTATGTGCATAACCTTCCTCCCAGGTTTAATGAGGATATGCTTAAGGAGTGTAAGAGTTTGAGTCTGTGGACTAATATGTGTAAGTTTACCAGCAATGAAGGGCTTGGTCCTCCCCTTGAGAACGTGGAAGGGGTGTTTGAGAATACCGGGTGGTATGCGACGAATCAATTTGCGGTGGATGTGATATTCAATAATCGGATGAAGCAGTATGAGTGCTTGACCAATGATTCTTCGATTGCAGCTGCAATTTTTGTGCCGTTTTATGCTGGATTTGATATTGCAAGGTATCTTTGGGGATATAATATCTCGAGGAGGGACGCTGCTTCTCTTGATTTGGTTGATTGGCTGATGAAGAGGCCTGAGTGGGGTATAACGGGAGGGAAGGATCATTTTCTGGTGGCTGGGAGGATTACATGGGATTTCAGGAGATTGACCGATGAGGAATCTGATTGGGGTAATAAACTTCTGTTTTTACCTGCTGCGAGGAATATGTCCATGCTTGTGGTTGAGTCAAGCCCCTGGAATGCAAATGATTTTGGCATTCCATATCCAACTTACTTCCATCCTGCAAAGGATGAGGAAGTGTTTGTCTGGCAAGATAGGATGAGAAAATTGGATAGAAAGTGGCTATTCTCTTTTGCAGGTGCACCGCGTCCTGGTAATCCTAAGTCAATAAGAGGGCATATTATTAATCAGTGTAGGAAGTCAAAGGCGTGTAAGTTGTTGGAATGTGATTTTGGGGAGAGCAAATGTCATTCACCAAGCAGTATAATGCAGATGTTTCAGAGCTCCCTGTTCTGCCTGCAGCCTCAAGGAGATTCATACACACGGCGATCTGCTTTTGACTCAATGTTGGCTGGTTGTATTCCTGTCTTTTTGCATCCTGGCTCGGCATATACACAATACACTTGGCATCTTCCCAAAAATTATACTACATATTCAGTGTTCATCCCAGAGAATGATATTCGTAAAAGGAATGTTAGCATAGAGGAGAGGCTTAGTCAAATTTCTCCAGAGCAAGTGAAGATCATGAGAGAGGCGGTCATAAATCTCATTCCTAGGCTGATATATGCAGATCCTCGCTCTAAGTTGGAGACTCTTCAAGATGCTTTTGATGTTGCTGTACAGGCAGTCATTGACAAAGTTACTAGTTTGAGGAGGAACATTATCCAAGGTCGCACGGAATATGATAACTTTGTGGAGGAAAATAGTTGGAAATACGACTTGTTAGATGAAGGACAGCGTGAGGTTGGAGCTCATGAATGGGATCCTTTCTTCTCAAAACCAAAAGATGAGCAGAGAGATCAATCTGCGGAGGCTGCAAAAAATTCTTGGAAGAATGAGCAGAGAGATCAATCATAACTGGAAGTTGATGAAACAGTATATAAGTTGAACTAAAGCTTTAATGCAGTCTCCGAGTCTCAAAACAAGAGTTCCTGTTTTGAGTTGGGTAGATAGCAGGTATAACCCTGTAAGGGCCTTCTTGTGCATCGACTATAGATATTGCCACCAAGCATATCAGGCTTGAATCCTTCTTTCAAACTAGAACATATATACATATTCTCTGCGCCAAATACAGTTCTTCATATAGAATTTTTCCCCTTTGAGCTACGTATTTACTTAGCGATTCTTTGTAATGTTTTGTAGCTGAGATTTTGTCAGTTTGTCTGTGTAATGATCCTGTCTTATCAACGCATACAAGAAATAATAACTAATAACCAGTTTTTCGCATTATTTTGGTGATTTTGGGAATCAGCTTTTATGTACTTCGAACCATTTTATTGAATTCCTTTTGCTACATGTTTTTTAATTGTCGTAAATAGTAGTATTTTTTAACCTTTAATCTGTTGAAATACATCAAGAAAATCAGGATCAACTTCCAATATTTTTCTCCCTTCTCATGGAGATTGTGCACCGTCCATAGTCAATATTTTTAAGTTTGAGATTCCACTGTGTAGGGCACCTTGCTTTGTCACAGCTAGCATTCATCAGATGGTTATTACCATGACCTTGTGTTTTGTCTGATTTTCGAAATTCTGAGGCTTGTTAAGCGTTTAAAGCCTACCATTACTTTTTTTTTTCTGCTAATTGAATTTCATTAACCCGAAGGAAGAACATAAAAATGCAACCAGGTCGGATCTGGATGGCGTTAGATGAACAAACAAATGGAGCCAGAATCTTGCACATTTTCCCCAAACCTTGGACTTGCTTAGAGGCCTTTTTCTTTTGCTGAAATAAGAGTTTGCTTGCTTGCATCCATGAAGGTTCACTTGAGCTTCCCGTGGAAAGAATTGAAAAGAAAAAAAAAATGTGGGTTTAAGCTGTGATTCAACTGTCGATATCGAAAGCTGACAGCATACGGCTGAACCTCCCTGTTACTTCAACTGATGAATTCACAAACCACGTTTCTGCTTTCTTATGTCAACGCGGCACGTTGCTCTGTCACTTACTTGGCATTATGTTTTTTTCCCTTTTTTTTTTTTCACGTCAAGAATCCAAAATTGTGTATTTTACTGGTTCTTAGTTAGAAGTTAGAATTTAGAAGGATAGTAATGAACCACCCAAAAAAAAAAAAAAAGAAATAAAGACCAGGGATATAAGAAGTCAAGAACTCCTGGGCAAAAGGGAGGGAGCCATTGAAGGCGTCTGCATTAATGCACTTGAGCTGGCATTTAATGGCGATTATCTTCGATAACTTAAACTTTCTCACTCCATCTCTTTAATATTTTGTCATTCAAGAAGGCTAACATACTGAGGGAATGATGTTGAAGAGAGTTGAAATGATTGATGGTTTTGGAATCTAATGCTTACATATGTAAATGTATTAAAATCAAGCATAACATCTCGTGAGGCCGAGAGCTGGGCCTTCAGCTCCCTAAAGAAACCCAGAGCCCTCTCTTCTTGCCAGAACAAAGGATCCTCGTGATGAAGAGCTCTTATATTTCACGAGTTTCATATTGTTACCCAGAGTTCAAACGTGCGTCGCAAACCACGAGCTTCAAATACCCCCGCGTTCCTCTGCAACATCCTTCATCGGATTCCAAGTATCATTGTCTCAACTTCTCCATGGAAGCCAAAATACAGCTTCTCTTGTCAACTCTTTTACTCTACTCAGTTTCCGTCCATGCAAACACTCTTCAGACTTACATAGTTCAGTTGCATCCACAAGGTGTAAGCAGCTCATTGTTTCCTACCAAACTTCAATGGCATCTTTCATTTCTTGAACAAACTCTTTCCTCCGAGGAAGACCCTTCTTCTCGTCTTCTCTACTCTTATGGTTCTGCCATGGAAGGTTTTGCAGCTCAGCTGAGTGAAACTGAGCTAGTGTCATTGCGGAGTTTGCCTGATGTTGTTGCAATCAGACCTGACCGGTTGCTTCAGGTTCACACAACTTACTCTTACAAGTTCTTGGGACTTAGTTCCACTAGAGATGGTGCTTGGATTAAATCTGGATTCGGTCGTGGAACAATCATTGGGGTGCTTGACACAGGAGCTTGGCCAGAGAGTCCTAGTTTCAATGATCATGGAATGCCACCTGTGCCCAAGAAATGGAGAGGGATTTGCCAAGAAGGACAAAGTTTCAATGCCACGAATTGTAACCGGAAACTCATTGGTGCAAGATTCTTTATAAAAGGTCATCATGTTTCCTCAGCGTCACCATCAGCCAACATGATTGAAGAGTATATATCACCAAGGGATTCCTCCGGACATGGAACTCATACATCATCCACAGCTGGAGGAGTTTCTGTTCCAATGGCAAGCGTGCTTGGAAATGCTGCTGGTGTGGCCCGTGGAATGGCCCCCGGAGCCCACATTGCTGTGTACAAAGTTTGCTGGTTCAATGGCTGTTACAGCTCAGATATCCTAGCTGCTATGGATGTTGCAATTGCAGATGGAGTTGATGTGCTTTCACTCTCTCTAGGTGGCTTCCCATTGCCACTTTTTGATGATAACATAGCCATCGGCAGTTTTCGAGCAGTCGAGCATGGAATATCAGTAATCTGTGCTGCAGGAAACAATGGCCCAATTCAAAGCTCAGTTGCAAACATAGCTCCTTGGATTGCTACCATTGGTGCTAGCACACTTGACCGGAAGTTTCCAGCCATAGTTCGGATGGGCAATGGAGAATTCCTTTATGGAGAGTGTATGTTCCCAGGGAACAAGTTACCAAGCGCCGAAAAGGAACTTGAACTGATCTACGTCACTGGTGGGAACAGCGGAAGTGAATTTTGCTTCAGAGGGTCTCTCCCAAGGGCAAAAGTACGAGGCAAAATGGTTGTTTGTGAAAGAGGTGTCAATGGAAGGGCAGAAAAAGGTGTAGCTGTAAAAGAAGCCGGTGGTGCTGCCATGATATTAGCAAATACAGAGATAAACCTCGAGGAAGACTCAGTTGATACTCATGTCTTGCCAGCAACTGAGATTGGTTATGCGGAGGCAGTACGTCTAAAGGCTTACATGAACACTACCAGTCGTCCTAGAGCTCGAATCATATTTGGTGGAACTGTTATTGGGAGGTCAAAAGCACCTGCCGTAGCACAGTTTTCAGCCAGAGGGCCCAATTTATATGATCCTTCAATCCTAAAACCAGACGTGATTGCTCCAGGGGTTAATATCATTGCTGCTTGGCCTCAAAATTTAGGTCCCACTGGTCTTCCCGAAGATGCTAGAAGAGTTAATTTCACTGTCATGTCCGGAACTTCCATGGCATGTCCTCATGTCAGTGGAATTGCAGCTCTGATTCACTCAGCACACCCAGCATGGACCCCAGCAGCTATTAAATCTGCAATAATGACATCTGCTGATGTAAATGACCATAGGGGAAAACCAATAATGGATGGAAACAAACAGGCTGCTATTTTTGCTATTGGAGCTGGACATGTAAACCCTGATAGGGCCATCGATCCAGGATTGATATACGATATCATGCCAGATGAATATGTCATTCATCTTTGCACCCGTGGATACACAAGATCAGATATTTTTACAATCACACACAGGAACGTGAGTTGCAGTGAGATTTTACAGATGAACAGGGGTTTCAGCCTCAATTACCCCTCCATATCTGTAGCTTTCAAGCATGGAATTGAGAGTAGGATGATCACAAGGCGACTGACGAATGTGGGAAGTCCTAATTCTATATATACAGTGGAAGTGAAGGCTCCTGAGGAAGTCTTGGTGAGAATCAAACCTCAAAGGTTAATGTTCAAGCATATCAATCAAAGTTTGAGCTACAGAATATGGGTAACATCAAGGAAGAAAACAGAAACAAAGAGGACAAGCTTTGCAGAAGGGCAATTGACATGGGTGAATGCTCACAATAACTTCTACAGGGTTCGAAGTCCTATTTCAGTCACTTGGAAGTAGTAGCAGCTTAGCACCTACAAGTTCTTGCGTTAATTTCTCATTGAATTATGCTTTATCAATATTTTAGTTGAGCATATGCCAAGTTTAATTGCGCAGAAATTAAAAAAATATTGGCAAAAGCCTCTTCATCATCAAAATGAAGAGTGAAGCAACTATAATAACTGCGATTGTATAACGTACAATTGGACTATTAAACTCTTTGTTACTTACTAAACATGTTCCATATCATTTTAATTTCCTGTGTAGCCAATTAGTGAACATTCATATCTCAAGAACTGTAGTCACTTACAGACATCCATATGAATTTGCGGCTATTATTTCCACATTTATGGAGAACAAGTAAATCTGTCAATCAATGTAGACGAAAAGAAATTGTTATGAAATGCCTGACTGAGCTGCTAGACATGCAGTTAATCTAACAACAGCAAATTAGTTCACTGACCCTCAAAACATTTTTTTCCCAGATATCAACATTCAATAACATAATCAAAGTAATCAAAGGAACTAGCAGTCATCTTGGCACGCAAGAAAATGAAGCATACAATTTGAGTGAAAAAGGAAAATGCAAAACTTTGTTGGGAAGAAGGAAGCGAAAAGTATTTGCCTGAAACCTACATCGGGATCTAACCCAATGTAAGGCATCTGCATAAAACCTATATGAGACGTTAAGTTGTACTTAAACAAAATTTCATAACTAAAATGAGGAAACCGATGGAAGTGAAGAGAAAGACAGGAGAAGGATATACATTGCCTCATTTTTTTGATGGACTGCAAGTGGTTTTCATTGGAATATGGCTCCATGAATCTCATGAACCTGTCCCACTCTCAAGGATATCGCATTTTATACTTAGATTCAATTCCCGCAGGCTTTCCATTTACAAATTTGGCATTCACATCAACTGACTGAAGGACTCCTTCCCCATCAATCATGTAAAAACCAGTGATTTCACCAACTTCACCTGACGAGTCAAAAACAGACGGTTGATCAAATCTGAACACAGCAACACCATTTGCACCATCTCTTGACTTAGTTAACCTCACACCTGGTATTGTCTGTTCATCAGTTCCTTGAATGAACTGAATTTTTGGTTTGACCATCATTGTTATGGGTCCACATTTCTTACAATTCCATCTTGTTAGAGATAGCCCTCGACGAGCCACATGTAAAGATTGCCCCTTGAATGGCGAATTCACGCTCATGTGAACAACCCAAGATGGTATTCCTGCAAAAAATTAAAAAGACATTACTCGAATCACACTTATACATTAAACTCCATGGAAATACAGCTTCTGCTACTTATTACCAGCAAGCTACTAAGCGTGTTTAAGAATCTCACATACTATATCCCTAAAAGGAATTAAACAATTAAAAGCTTAATAATAAGTCTAAATATCCGTCCCTCGCCACACAAAAACCACTTTCTTATTCTGAACATGAGTAAACACCGAGTCAATTTGCAATTAGCCTACTTGTCATTTTCACAATCAACCATAGATCTTTCCAAGCTTCAATTCTATTAGTTTGGCAAAGAATGTTACCATTTGTAAATGTTGTTGGAAACATATTTCATACACATCATATAACAAATAAATTGTTAAATCAAAATGACTAGCAAAAGAGATTTAAAAATAGTAATTCACTCGAAGAATGCATCAAATTGTAACTGATAGAGAAAAATATGAGGTACCAACAACAAATTAATCCTTTATATGTAAATATATATATATATATATATATTTAAGGACTAATTGAAGTACCACACGTACTATTATAAAGATCTTTTTATGGGTACCCACAATTTCATTCGATTGTCACAAAAAAATCATCAAAATATTTTTAAAAATGAAAAATACAAAAATTTAGTTTGAAGTTTGTAAAAATTTGCTCAAAATATGAAAATTCTAAAGATTTTAAGCAAAATCTTATTTAAATCAAAGATTTTTAAAATTGATTTCCCTTTTTCTTCCTCTCTCTTTTTTTTTTTTTCAAGTTAGTTTCTCTCAAATCTCTAATTACTTTTTCTTAAAAAAATAACACCAAAATAAAAGTACCAATATATTAAAAAGGCATGTTAATAAAATACTTTTATTGTAAATAAAAATTCTATTAGGTCAATTTTTTAATTATGGTAAAATATGGGTTAAAAATAAAATTTTAAAAAATAAGTTCTTTTTTTCACATCTAGGATCACAAAATCCTAACATTTGATGTGATTTTGTGATTTGTGTGTAGTTTGTATTGGGTTGGTCCAATATTTTTGTGTGCTTTATATTGAGTTTGACAGAGATGTCAAATTTTAACAGAGGGAGTTTGTGACACCCTAATCTTATATTAAGAGATTTTGTGAATCTACTATGATATATAAGTTGAAATATAAACCCAAATTTATGAAATACTTTTTGTACGATAAAATCATGAGATTTCGGATCAAAACAGATAATACCTAACATGTTTGATGCAAGTTTTCACAAATTATATCAGAGCGGTTACTAGTCGGACGAAAGCTAAGTGTTACACGATGAGAGTTACATCCAAAGCTAAGTGTTACACGATATGGTATCAGAACAGTTATCAATCAGACAAAAATTAAGTGCTACACGATAAGAGTTACATCCGAAGTTAAGTGCTACACGATGAGAGCTACCTCTAAAATTTTAACGTCTTGTGTGATCTTACAATTTGTGTGTGTTTTGTGCGATTTATATGTGTTTTATGTTAGACTTGATAGATATATTAAACTTTAATAAGAGAATTTATGACACTCTAATCTTATGTTAGTATAATCTTGATAGGGATGTTAAGTTTTAATGGAGAAGTTTGTAACACTTCAATTTTACATTGAAATAATTTGAGATTCTACTATAATATATAAATAAAAGTTTAATTCTAAACTTGCTATTATAATATATAAGTAGAAGCTTAATCTTAAATTTGTGTTGTGCTTGACAAGTAGGTCAAGTTTTAATGAGAAAGTTTGTGACACCTCCAATCTCTTATCAAAATAATCTTGATAAAAGCATTAAGTTTTAATAGAAAAGTTTATGATATCTCAATTTCATATCGAGATAATTTGAAATTTTATTATAATATATAAGTAAAAATTTAATCTTAAATCTACTACTATAACATATAAGTAGAAGCTTAATTTTAAACTTATAAATTTTTTTATAAGATAAAATTATAAAATTTTTAAATTAAAATAAATAATATTTTATAAATTAAGTATAAATCTTTACAAAATTAATAAAAAAGAGAGAGAAAGGATTTTCCCATTGGTGTTGTGTCGGGTCGTGCCATGCAGACCCTGGAAAGAAAAACATCACAACGCCAGAGCCTAGCCAACTATTGAAAATCAATGTGTCAGGGTTTGGGCATTAATCAATAAAGCCCATTTTTCATATGCGACAAAAAACAAAGCAAAGCCTCTCAGCCACTGGGCTGGCTCAAGAACAAAGTTCAATTACACATGGGAGTCGGATACTAAGATTTGAAGCCTATTGAGATTTTGAAGTAAGAAACGTATACAATGGCTGAAACAGTTCAATCTCAACAAGGCAGAGTGTTGTTAGGCGCAGACAACTACTTCATATGACAGCTTGATCCTTCGTGTCCCTGGAATTCTCTAGACATAGGACAGCATGTTTCATGCGAATACATTTTATCTTGAACCATATCAACCATGTTAATATCTACTGCCTGTGTCTTTTTTTTCTCCCAAAATTATATATATTTTTAAATATTTAAAATTTTTTATAATTTTTTAATTTTATAAAAAATTTTAATTTTAATATTAAATATATTAAAATTAAAATTTTCTTTTAATTTTCGTAAAAATTAATATTATCTAAATAATTTTTTGAGACGAAAAAAATATTAATCAAGCATGAACTCAAATCAATCACAAATCACTATATACTATTATCCAACCTGCCTACCCAATTGTCCTGTCCACCCTCTGATTAACTTCCTGTGTCACTGTCACATTCTTCATGTTTATGTACAAGTTAAAGTAGACTGCAACAAGTTTTTTTTCTTTTCTCGGAATAAAGATTGCAACAAGTTTTGATTGTGCACTTGATGACCACTACATTTTATTTTTCGTTGTCGGCATAACCACGCAATCCAAGATTTTTTATAAGTCGTGAAGCTCAAAAAAAATGCATGAACATGTGTTTCATACACCTTATCTTAAGTACGTAATAATGCAAATGAAAATTAATGTCTTACACATATACAATAGAAGAATAATATTAATATAAAATAAATTTAAAAGTCGAAAAATTATTTTATACACATGTTACATACGTTTTTAAAGTATATTAAAAATGAAATTATAATTATAAATTTATAATATATGCATATATATATATATAACAAATTCCAAAAGTTAATGCATTTCTACTAATTATTTTTTTCTTTTTTATTTTTAATTTAGCTCATTAATTAAGAAAAAGATGCAATAATGATCTTTCTTTTTTCCTTTTCCTCATCTTCTTTCAGTCATATCCAACCCACTATGAGGAATCTCATTCCATAAGTTAAAGCCTCCGCTATCCTTTTTCTTTCTTTTCTCTTGCCTTGGCATAGGGTTAGGCCGTTGGCTACAAAACTAGGGTCAAACATATTAGTAGACAATGGACCATTTGGATCACTTGCAAGCAATTTCTAAAGAAAATAAAATGAAAATTGAAAAAAAAAAAAGCTTTTTAAGTAATACTTCAGATATTTTTCTTTTAGGATCGAAATTAATTAGTATTTATGCTTAACGATGCCAATTCTCAAAGAAAAAAAAAAAACAAAAAGAAGAATTCTAAGTCTTTCGTGTCCAATTCTTGCAAATACAAGAAACCATCTAAATAAGACCGTGTTTGACGGAAAGAAAAAGAAAAAAAAAATACCCTGCCAGTACGCTAATTCTGCCATGTTTTGATTTTTCTTGACCGCTAATTTGTAATTTGAACGACCAAGGTTTGCTGCGTCGCCAAGTAATATGACTTGGAATCCGTAAAATGGGCTGTAACTTTTAATGAAAGTGAAAGGCTAAAGCCTAAAAGGAAGTAAAGTTTATTATTGTTGATAGTTACAAGTTCCCCTCTATTGCTGCTATTTTTTGACCCATGCTTTATATGACTTGGACTTTGCTTTGTAACATTTCTAACTTCATGTATATGCTTTTAACAAATGAAGAAAGAAAAAAATTTGAGTTCTATAAGATGATTAAAGAGCTATGTTTTTTAAATTCAAATTTTAATTTAATTAATTTATATAAATATTTAATATATTTAAAATTTAAATTTTACTATATGAGTTTTTTTATAAAAAATATATCCATTAATTTAATTCATTAATAAGTCAATTTTTGGTGAGTTGGTGTTGTTAATATAGCAAACAAACAACTCACAAAAATCTATCAAAAGTAAAAAGATTTAAGCCACAAATTTCCAACACGGACAGACGGAGACCGGGATGGATGGTGGACCCTACATTTCTTCTTCATTTTCAAGGCTGGATGGGACCAAAATTTATCCTACGTGTCATTAAAAATTGTGGACGTGGCACACTTTACCTCTTCCGTTCCTTCCAAGGAAGCACAGTGCTAGAAAGAGAGAGAAAAAAGAACATAGAAAAATAAAAAAAAAAGAGGGGAAAAACAGATCAGACTCTGTCTCTTCTCTCTCACGAGAACTCCATGTTTTCTTCCCGTTGACCGCCGGCCGCTAATCAAATTCTCCTATTTCCGCTCTTTCAGATTAAAAAAAAAAAGAAAATCAAACGTATAAATTAATCAATTCGCCAACTCTCTCTTTTCAAATTTTTTGAGTTTCCATTTGTTAGTCAGTCGAAATCTTTGAAACATCTGCGTCTTCCAATCTTTACTTTGAAACCATCTCTTCCGATCCGATCATCCGTATTCCATCGAAGAAATGGGAGGGATGGATGTTGAAGGAGGAATAGCGATTAAGTTATGGAAAAAATTTAGGAGCGAATCGGTTTTTGTTAATTACACTCCTTTCTTCGTTTGCTTAGCCGCCGGCAATTTAAACGCCGACTCTTTTCAACACTATATCTCTCAACATGTTCATTTACTCCATGCCTTTGCTCAAGCGTGAGAATCCTTCAAATCAGTCTTTTCCAATTTGCAAAAAGCTGAATCAATACGCTAAATATTTTCAGATTTTTTTTTTACAAATTATTTGTTTATTTGGGAATTTTCAGGTATAAATTAGCGGAGGAATGTGCGGATGATGAGGAAGACAAGAAGGCAATACGGAACTTAAGGAAACATGTTCAGGACAATCTTAAATCACACGACTCTAATGTCCGAGTATGCTATATTTTTCTCTTCTTTATCAGTATTTTTATAATTTCTTTTTTTTTTTTTGTCAAAATAAATAGACATCATATTCTCAAAATAAATAAACAAATAGGCATTATAAACGTAATCATTTTTTAAAATTATGATCCTTATAATTAGCACAGCAGCTTATGATCATTATTTCTATTTCCATTGGATTTGAAATAGAAAAAAAAAAAAAAAGGGATAAATAACATATCAGTGTTCGTGATAAACAAACACTTTATTTCTCTCCAATTGATTGTTAATTTCTTTTATATAATTTTTTTTAAAAATTCAAAGCTCATGCCAAGGGAGGTTTTTCAGGTTTATTAGTTGTGTTTGATGCTACCTTATGGTAACCTGCCATATTTGCCATATGTCATTGAAGGCCAATTTGTAACTTCCTTAAAGATTAATAGATTATATTACCTTATACATCAGTGAAGTAAGTGGGTTTGATCATGGCATCATTTTCTTTAATTATATATGTAAACATGATTAATTCAATTTTGTCTTCCTTATTTATAGTTTAATGGACATGTTGCGAGCATAGAAATTTGTTCGTGGATTTTTCTTTTTTTTTTGCTTGTGGAGTTTGTGAACTCTATAACCGGAGTCTAAGATAATAATCCTCTATCTAAATTCCACACTGCCTCAGCTGAGATCCTTCAATGTAGGATTTAGTAATTTAAGAGTAGATTTTGAACTGGCTTATTCTTGTTTAGCCTAGTAACCATTTGGACTAGACAGATATGTAACTGCAATGTCTGTTTCTTCTTTCTTCATTTCTTGTGCATAGTGCTGGTGCTTAGGGTATCTATTCTGATGAAGACCTGTACTGCAGGAATGGGGCTTTGAACTCCCAGAAGAGAGCACCTCAACAAATGCTACAGTCAAGTATACAGATTTTTTGTTGGCAACAGCCTCAGGTAGAATTGAAGGAGAAAAAGTTCCTGGCAAAATTGCAACCCCTTTTGAGAAGACAAAAGTTGCTGCTTATACACTTGGCTCTATTGCACCTTGCATGAGGCTCTTTGCCTTTATAAATAAAGAGATCCAACTTCTTCTAGATCCTAATGATAGCAGCCACATTTACAAGAAGTGGATTGATCATTATTGCTCTCAAAATTTTGAGGTTCATCAGATTATTGATTACTAATTTTCTTCTGTGGTTTCTTATTGATACTTTTGCTGATTGAATACGAATACTTGTTTGGGTTGTTAGGAAAAGAAGTTCACTTTGCTTGATTCTGATTTCAGGCTTATGCTTTTCGAATTGAAGAGTTGCTGGATACACTAAGCATATCTTTGACAGGCGAAGAGTTGGATGTCATAGAAAGGCTCTACCATCAATCTATGAGACTGGAAGTAGATTTTTTCTCTTCTCAACCAATTATACAGGAAGCAGTGGTCCCTTTGTCTCAGACAATAGACCATGCTGCGGGTGGCCAACTCACCATATTTTGTGACTTTGACTTGACTTGCACTGCTTTTGATTCCTCCGCTATTTTAGCGGAGATTGCAATCGTAACAATGCAGAAGGCTGACCCTGATGCATCTGAAACCCAACTTACTCGGATGTCATCAGCTGATTTGAGGAGCACATGGAATGCTCTTTCTACCCAGTATTGTGAAGAGTTTGTACAGTGTGTAGAAAGCATCACACCAACTGAGACAGGTTTGATAAAAGATTCGCAGTCTTCTTGATTTCTATACCTTGTTAGTCTAGAAATGGTTGTGGCGAGAATTATTAATGACTTAATGCTTTTGATATTGCTAAAGTAATCCTTTCATGTTCCCTATTTGTGCAGCGAAAAGTTTCAGTTATGAAGATCTGTGTAAAGCCCTAGTGCAATTTGCAGATTTTGAGAAGAAGGCAAATTCAAGAGTGGTTCAGTCAGGAGTACTTAAGGGTTTAAACCAAGAGGACATAAAAAGGGCTGGCCAATGTCTGATCCTTCAAGATGGTTGTAAAGGGTTTTTTCAGAAAATCATGAAAGCTGAAAATCTCACCACTGCTGTACATATTCTTTCTTATTGTTGGTGTGGGGATCTTATTCGTTCAGCTTTTTTGTCAGGTACCCTGGAATACAGTCAAGCCATGCTATTATTTGATATATTTACAGACACACAGACACACACATCCCCAATAAATTAGAACTTGATATTAGGTTGAAGATGTGGATAAAAGATCCAGAGTCTAGACATAACATAAAGGACGACTAGATGTGTTCTTCACCCAATTTTTAGAGAAATTTCTATTAAGAGCCAGGTTGGGTATTTGGATGTTGTAGCATGTAATGCAATATCATTTATCAGGAATTATACCTGAAGTGTGCTGATTATTTATTTTGCTTCCTTGCTATCTATAACAGTTAAGAATTAGGATTATTCATTACAAAGACAACCTGTTGTTAAAATAATTATTGTTTGAAATTAATGCTTTTTACCTCCTCCCATTTCACTTAGCAGGGGATCTAAAAGCTCTGAATGTACACTCCAACGAGTTAGCTTGTGAAGAGTCCATCACCACAGGAGAGATCATTAGGAAGTTAGAGTCTCCCCTGGAAAAGCTTCAAGCATTCAATGACATATTAAACAATAGAGATAAAGATTGCCATCATTTGACGGTTTATATTGGAGGTTCAGTTGGTGACTTGCTCTGCTTGCTTGAAGCAGACATAGGTATCGTGATGGGATCAAGTCCCACCCTGAGAAAATTGGGAGAACAGTTTGGCGTTTCTTTCATGCCATTGTTCCCTGGTTTGGTAGCCAAACAAAGAGAAGTGGTTGAAGTTGGCGCTTCTAATTGGACAAAGCTTTCTGGCACTTTATATACAGTCTCTAGTTGGGATGAGATACATGCATTTTTTCTGGGTTCATAATCATAAAACCCTCTCTCTGCTTCTGGTGGTAATCAAGGGAAGCAATTTTACTGTTGGATATACATAATCTCAATTGTGGCTAATTTTTCTCAGGGGCCACAGGTCAGCCCTGATTCTTTTTTTCTTTCTTTAGGGACTGCCATACAGAAATATAGAGCCTGCTATCACATGTACAATTGTGTAGTTACTGAATAAGTTGGTTGTGGAATGTTTTCGCCTCTAGCTCCATTTTCAGTTGTCTTTTGGGTTGCATCTAAGCAAAAATAGTTTCAAATTTGCTGTAATATCAAGATAAATTTCCTTTACAACAGTCAACGGGAATGAATGATTTATTATGCTATCAGTTCTTTTTGTGGTTCGTTTGCATATTTAGTGTCAAGTGTTTCTCAAATTCTTCCGACTAGTTCATATTTTTATACATAAATTATTGAATGTATATATTATATGTATCTTATAACGTCGACAAAGCAAGAAATCCAAATCATTAAAGGGTACAACAGCTTTTACTATTCAGCCTCTGGCATGTAAAGCTTCCATTGGAGAAAAAGAAACACTTTCTACAACAGAGAGGTTTGAGTTATATGCGCTTTTCCACTTTGCAATTGTATCTGCATATTTTTGACTCGGCAATGGCAACAAACCAACCAGGCTAAACCCAGAAGCAATGGTACCCTTGAAATTCGAGTGGTGGACTGAGTGGATAGACTTCCTTAGATCAAATGGAAGCCAGACTCAGAGAGTTTATACTAGAACTGAATGATGATGCCAAGGGCTTTTCTTGCAAGCTCCACAAGTCTCCATTTCCACGTCAGAATTTGGCACCAAGCAATTAAGGAGCCGCCACCGGCTCTGACTTAACCCAAAAGGGTGCTTGGACTAGGCCCATTGAACAGACAATTTAAAAAAAAGTTTAAACCACTCTTATTTCGACAGACAGCTTTTAAATTTTCAATAAAATGTGCTACCCGAAGACCAAATAGGATTTGTAAGTAGTTTAATTTGTGAAGCATGTGCCACATGTCTAATCACAAACATGAATCGTCTGAGCCATGCTTTTTCTCTCCAATCTAATTCCATCTGTCGCAGGCTGGTTTTGAGTGTAGACGTGTAGTTTCCATGTGAGTTGCACGTCAGCTTTCATTTCCTCGTAAATTCCCAAGTACTCTTTCCTTGCAAACTTGCATTTCATTCAACATTTATATTCATGAATTATACTTATTATTATATACTACAACATATAATTCAACATACTCTCAATTTTCTCTCTAATAATAGGGAAGGAAGGAAATACTTTTTACTCCTTAAGGAAGCTTCTGCAGCTGCTTGCTGGTTCACATGGCATCCATATCTACTTCCGCATTCACTAATAATAGGAAAAAAAAGAATCATCCCACATGTTGGCATGTGGGGGATGAGTGCTTTTTAATGGGTTTTTTTAATCTCAAGAAGAAAAGTGGCAGCTGGTGGACTGGACTCTCTCAGACCATGATTGAGGATGTTGTGCATCACTTACTTCCCATTTTCTTTTGCTCCTTTTCTTGTCTTTACCATATCTTTTGGCGTTTGTTGATTGCACATTCTTTTTCTTTAATAATGCAATCGAGAGCTTCCCTCTTTCCAAAAGGACAAATCTGTCCACATGCATATTTCTCTCCAATAATCTCTTTTTTCCTTTTCATCATAAAATGAAAAAAAAAAAAAGAAAGAGGAGAATACTCCTATTGCCTTTAATTGGATCCAAAAGTTTTCCCATTACCATACTAGGTAATAAACTTCTTTTTTAGAACATTTTAGATTACATTAATCAAGGATTAAATCTATGATTTTTAGGTGCTTTAACACTTTAATTTGAGATGATCATCACTTGGTCAAATATTGTTACTTTTGATTAAGGAAGGGTAAATTTGATTTTTCATTGGTTGTCAATGCCTAGATCAACATTGTGGGTGTTAAAAGAAGATTATATAAACAAAATTTAAAAAAAAAAGAATAAAAATGCAAAAACAAAAACTTGGGTATTTTTAATTTTGTCTTACTTTCTATGTTTTAGTTAGCCCATAACATGGAAAGATTCCTCCCTTTTCAATCATAATAAATAACTAACCTACTCACTGTTCAATTTATTTGGACATGATGGGGCTGATTGCATGTCTTTAAAATAACCCCAAAAACAATGTGGATTGTTAGCTCAACTAAGGGCTTACCATTATTGAGGTTTTTCTTTGGATTTATCAGAGCTTAATCACATGAAAGTGAGGGAACTGTTTTTGACTATTAAAACGGTTAAGTAGAAATTCCCACTATCAAAGTTTTGGTTTTATGCTGGATGCAGTTACATGTACATCAATATCATGATTCCTAAATCCTTTTCATACTTAGAAGTTACCCTACCCTTCACCTTCGCTTGAAATGATTTGAGCTTATGCAGCTTTTCATTTATTAAGGTACTGAAAGAAGCTTTTGACAGACAATTGTCCTTCAAAATTTTGATCAATTAATAAAATGCTTAAAATTCTCCAGTTGAGCAGAGAAAATGCGGTTTTACCGAGAATGCATTGGATACATGATGTCTTAACGGTTGAATCTTGCATTCAGCAGTAATTTTCTTGACAGATGAGATATATGAGATGAAATATCTATGGTTAGTGGCTTGAGTTGACTATCAAATAGAAGAAAGAAACACATTCTTTCCCCATGTTTAATTCGGAGAAACTTCCAATAAGTCCAAAAGCTTCCCCTTCATTTCTTGCTGATTAACAGCTGTTGCAGAACCCAAGATCTCCCGAGCTCTCTAAAAATTAAACTAATCACAATTTCTTTAATATTTATATACCGACACTTATACATCAACCAGTCTTCTTTCCTATCACTTCTCATCGAAGTTCAATCAGAAGTACATGTTTGCTCCATGCTAACCAGCCCAGTCTGCCCCAACTTTTCCCTGCTAGTAGTTCCTGAATGTGAAAATGATCTACTAAGAAATTGATGGCAGTTATGAAGAACAATATGCAGCTGAAATCCATTTCTTCTTGTTGTTCTTCTGCTACTGCATTGGTTCTTGTTTTGGTCTTGCCAGGGTGGCTGAAATAAACAACTTGAATGAGGAATTATCGGCTTTACTATCGATAAAGACCAGTCTTATTGATCCACTGAATAGCCTTCACGATTGGAAATTACCGGACAATATGGCTCTGAAGTATTCAGTTCACTGTAACTGGACTGGAGTACGGTGCAATTCTGAAGGGGCGGTTGAAAAGCTTGATCTCTCCCATATGAATCTCACTGGACGAATTTCAGATGATATCCAACAGCTGAAAAGCCTTAGTTCTCTCAACTTGTGCTGCAACGAACTGTCTTCGACTTTGCCAAAATCTTTATCCTATCTCACATCACTCAACAGCATTGATGTGAGCCAGAATTTCTGCACCGGAAGCTTTCCTGTGGGATTTGGAAGGGCTTTAGGACTAACTTTACTGAATGCTTCCAGCAACAATTTCTCAGGAGCTCTCCCTGAGGATCTTGGCAATGCAACTTCTTTGGAGACTCTAGACCTGAGAGGAAGTTTCTTCCAGGGTTCAGTTCCAAAGTCTTTCAAGAACTTGCAGAAGTTGAAATTTCTTGGCCTTTCTGGAAATAATCTCACTGGCCAGATACCAGAAGAGCTCGGCCAGCTTTCATCACTGGAGACTATAAATCTGGGCTACAATGAATTTGAAGGTGGAATACCGGTTGAGTTTGGTAATCTCTCTAGTCTAAGGTACCTTGATTTGGCAGTTAGCAATCTTAGTGGCGAGATTCCTGCTGAGCTAGGGAGGCTCAAGCTACTAGAAACAGTTTTCTTGTACAAGAACAATTTTGAAGGCAAGATTCCTCCATCAATTGGCAACATCACTTCGTTGCAGCTGCTGGATTTGTCTGATAATAGTTTATCTGGAGAAATTCCTGCTGAGATTGCCGAGCTTAAGAACTTACAACTCTTAAACTTAATGTCCAATCAGTTATCAGGCTCAGTTCCCGCTGGATTTGGAGGTTTGACACAATTGCAGGTGCTTGAGTTGTGGAACAATTCCTTGTCAGGCCCACTCCCGATTGATCTTGGCAAGAATTCACCACTGCAGTGGTTGGACATATCGTCCAATTCGTTCTCTGGTGAAATCCCGGCTCCCGTGTGCAATGGAGGCAATCTGACCAAGCTCATAGTATTCAACAATGCTTTCTCAGGTCCAGTGCCAGTCAGCTTATCAAATTGTCTGTCACTTGTTCGTGTTCGAATGCAGAATAATCTTCTATCCGGGACAATTCCAGTTGCCTTGGTAAACTTGGGAGGCTTCAGAGGTTAGAATTGGCAAATAACAGTCTCATTGGGGAAATCCCGGATGATATTGCTTCTTCTACATCACTCTCATTTATCGACCTTTCTAGTAATCACCTTCGATCTTCTCTCCCTTCTACCGTTCTTTCCATCCCGAGTCTGCAAACATTTATTGCCTCAAGCAATAACTTGGTTGGTGAAATCCCAGATCACTTTCAGGACTGCCCTTCACTTTCGCTTCTTGATCTCTCAACAAACCATTTTACAGGAAGTATTCCAGCTAGCATTGCTTCATGTGAGAAATTAGTTACTTAGAATCTGAGGACTAACCAATTGATATCCGAAATCACTTGCTATGATGCCCACTTTGGCTGTTCTTGATTTATCTAACAACTCGCTAACAGGTGGGATACCTGAAAATTTTGGAACTTCCCCAGCTTTAGAAATGCTCAATGTTTCATATAACAAATTAGAGGGTCCAGTTCCCGCAAATGGTGTGCTAAGAACAATCAATCCAGATGACTTCGTGGGCAATGCTGGTCTCTGTGGTGGTGTTCTCCCTCCGTGTAACCAATATTCACAAACTTCATCAAGACAGAGAAGTTTGCGAGCAATGCATATTGTTGCTGGGTGGTTCATTGAGCAGCTGGAATCTTACTTATCGGTGTGCGATTGCTATATAAAAAGTGGTATTCAAATGGTGGTTGCTTTGAAGAAACGTTTGAAGCAGGCAATGGAGAATGGCCATGGAGATTAATGGCATTCCAAAGAATTGGTTTCACAGCTGCTGACATCCTAGCCTGTATTAAAGAATCAAACGTGGTTGGAATGGGAGCCACCGGGGTTGTGTATAAGGCTGAGATGCCACAGTCGAATGCAGTTGTGGCAGTTAAAAAGTTGCGGAGATCAGGAGCTGATATCGAGATGGGAAACAGTGGGGATTTTGTTGGAGAGGTGAATCTTCTAGGGAAGCTAAGGCATCGGAATATAGTTCGGTTATTAGGATTTCTTCATAATGATACCAGCATGATGGTAGTATATGAGTTTATGCAAAATGGTAGCTTAGGAGAAGCCTTGCATGGCAAACAGGCAGGTAGGTTGCCGGTAGATTGGGGTTCGCGGTATAACATAGCACTCGGAGTAGCACAAGGGCTTGCTTATCTTCACCATGATTGCCATCCACCTGTTATACTCAGAGACATCAAGTCAAATAACATACTGCTTGATTCAAATCTTGAGGCAAGAATCGCTGATTTTGGTTTGGAAAGGATGATGGTCAGAAAGAATGACACAGTCTCAATGGTGGCTGGGTCTTACGGGTACATAGCCCCTGGTAAGTTACCAATTAACATCTCACTTCAATGGACTTGATTCTGTGTTTATATGATAATGCGCGTTTACTTATTGGGGCTCATGTTATTTTCTTAATGATTCTGTGACAGAGTATGGTTACACCTTGAAGGTCGACGAAAAGATTGACATTTACAGCTTTGGGGTGGTTTTACTGGAACTTCTAACTGGAAAGCGGCCTTTAGATCCCGAGTTTGGAGAATCTGTAGACATTGTTGAATGGATTAGGAGAAAGATTGGAGACAACCAAGCATTAGAAGAGGCATTAGATCCCAATTTAGGAAACAGTAATCATATTCAAGAAGAGATGCTCTTAGTTGCTAGGATAGCACTTCTTTGCACAGCCAAGCTCCCCAAGGACAGACCAACCATGAGGGATGTGACTACGATGCTTGATGAGGCAAAGCCTCGGAGGAAAAGCAGTAGCAACAATGACGGAATGCATCCGCAAAAGAGAAGCCAATCTTTAGAACATCACCTGTAAATGGCCTCGTGTAGGAACAAAATATCATGTTCCCTTTCAGGCCCTTTTTTTTGCAAAACTATATTCTTATTTGTATGTAGCATTGTATTTGTTAATACTTGTAATCACTGGTTTCATATTGTTGTCTAGAAAGTTAACAGGTATATCAAGCTGGATTTCTCCTGCAAATAAAGTTCATTTTCAGGGAAGTCATGGTGTCATTCAAGTCACAAATCCATTGTACCTGAAATTGCTAATTCTCATTGTCAATGTATTTGTAATGGTACAGATCTATAGATCTTTGCTACTATAAATTCTGCACAAGCCAAATAAGAACAGGTCTGAAATTTTTTCATAGGAACTTTCCTAGTTCTTAAGATGGCACAATGGCCAATACCGGTAAGAATTGACCCTTTTTCACCAGAGTTCTTGAGATTATCTTTAAAAACCATTCAGAAACCACTTTAAATAGACGAACTATCATGGCATACAAATCTTCATCTAAGATACAAAAGAGGACTGCACTATTTGATCCAATAGTTGTATATGTATATCTCAATCATGCTCCCAGCTAGCATAGTTCTTATGGTATGCCATAGTGAAATTCACAGTTCGGCAAAATTAAGAATATGCTAACAGAAAACAAAAAGTGCAAAGTTAAAGGACAAAAAAACAAACTTGCCATTGATAAGGAAAACCACTCTCATTCTGACATTCCGAAATTAAAAAATACAGTAAAATGGCTCTCTTATTTACAGCAACAAAAAAAAAAGCATTTACTAGGTAATTTTCGCATATATTACATGAAAACTGTGCCTTTCAAAAAGTATGGTGACTGTTCCTCAAGACTGTAACTGAGATTGAAAGAAAACATGTAAAGAAATAATACAGCAGCAGGAAACAATCAGAGAGCCACGGAGGTTCAAACGTTGTCAAAATGCTTTAGCTATCTGTATTTCTTTTTATGCTTTGTATGTTGCTAGCATGCCCTATTCATCTTATGGTGGGGTTGAGAGAATGATATTCTAGATGGGTTTGCTTCTTTGTCTCTGGTTCCTATTTTGTAATCTTGGAGCTGTAAATTATGAATTAAAATAACCTTAGATATGAATGGAAAAGCAACATAAACAAGTTCACAAGAGAATGTGAATATGCATACCTAATCCAGTAGCCTCAGATGTCCTCATGATTCTAAGCCTCTTCACAGAACTAAGGAACATCCTGAATCACACCAGAGAACACAAACAATGTGTTAACAGAAGACAGCTTTCGATCCACATAATGCATCTTCTCTACTTCTAGGTCTTTAAAACTCCGCAAATAAGTTTAGCTTTAGCCTCTTAAAGTTGTTCACTTTATTGTCATGAAGTTCTAAGTCAACGCCCTTCCTTCTATATATAAAACAGACGCAAACACACAAAGCATGTTATTCATACTTAGCACATATCATGGTGTACCTAACTGAAGCCCTCCCTTGCAACCAGATAAGATGACCACCAAGATGTATACAGCAATTCTTCAAGTGAATACATTAACTTCAGGGGCACTAGAGGAAAAGTGCATGTATGAAGATTTTAAGCTTTTCCTTTAACTCTGCCCAACTCTATTCTGAATTAATTGACAGTTAACGTCCAAAAAATTTATTAATAATCACAACACACATCTTATAAATGCAGCTAAATATAGGGCTTAAAAGAGAATGGACACTTTGATAGTTTAAAAAAAAATTTATACATACAAACACAGTGAAACTCTTTGAGGACCTAAATTTTGGCTCAGTTCAGGCAATAAAAACAGGAGTTCATTTTTAAAATGTCATGTGAGCAAGACCATAGAAAAATTAAAATGTAAAGTGACACGTATAATTAAAATTATACGTACTCCCAAGGAACATCTCCAACAAGCATCCAGTCACCTTCCTTGTCCTTGTAAGTCAGCACAAAATCAGATGATCCATCCAGCAGTTTTGAAGATCTTGTTATTTCGTTCATCATACCATGCTCCAGTGCCCTTGATCCTAATCACAAAAATCATGACAACATTCATAAAAGAGAAACATGCCTCCACAATCACCAAAGAGAAAACATAGTCTTTCACCTTTTTTGAATCAGTACATTCCTTACTTTTCAATCACAGCTCCTCCTATAATCCCATTACGTTTAACATTTCTTCACTTTAAAAGGTCTAAAAGTTCCCAGTCTAATATTTCATATTTTTGACACGATGCTTTAGAAAACACAAAGGAATGCT